AAATATATATATTTGTTTGTTTTTTTTGTTTATCAAAGTTCAGTAACAGTTCTTTATTAATCTTTAACTTTTATAACGTGTTACAGTAGGTAAATGAGTAAGAGGTTGTGAAATATTTTGCTTTTAGAAACTTTTGTTTTTATAATGGCAACGCCAGTACTAGAAATTATTTGTATTAGTTTACTGGAACTGATTAAAACCGGTAGGCGGTAGTTCAAAACAAATCTTAATTTTTTCTTAATAAATTTGTAAACATTTCTATTTATTAAGACTTTACTTGGAGTAAAAATCTATTTATCTGTCTCTCTATCTATAATATCTTTTTCTGTTTATCTATAATGCTACTGGCTCTCTACTTCCACCTCCACGTACCTATTGGCTCTCTATTTTCGTCTACCTGTTTGTCTATATATTTATTGGTTCTATCTCTTTATTTACCTGTCTGTCCATGTATCTACTGGCTTTCTCTCTGTCTGTTACCAATCTGTTTGTGTATCTGTTGGCTCTCTCTGTCTATCTACCTATCTATCAATGTAGCTATCGACTTTCTCTGTTTGTTTGTCTGTCTATCCCTATGAACTGTTTATCTGCCTACTTATCTGTTTGTCTTTCTATCCATCAATCGTTTACCATTTTTCATATTGAACTTATAATCATTTCGAGATTAAAATATTAATTAAATACAATATGTGAGGTTATTTTCTTTCGTAACGTTTTTATATGAATTTTTAAACTTAGAACTCTTGTTAAACGTACAATAATTTCATTGTCTGGTGTGTTAGTATCTCATTCTCCACTGATGTGAAGAACACAAGTGCCATCAAAAATCAAATGTCTTTGTTTTAAGCTAAATGTTTATTCAGAATTACTGTAACTGCCTTCTTTTTTTTTCATTTCAAAATGAAAATATGATAATGAAGTACAATGTTGTTTTTAATATTAAAACAAAAACTTGTTTGTAATAAAGATGTTGAACTTAACTCACACTGTATTTCCGTTAATTATGAACCCCTCCTACTCAATAGTTGCGCTTTGGTAAGGCGTTGCACGTTTTGGTATACCCATCTGCTAGATAAACAACTAGCGAGAGGAACAGGTGTAAAACACAAATATGTCAACCAATAACGATGACGTAGAAGATAAAATTGAAGAGTGTAAATATTTATCTGTTCAAACCGCCCCACCAGTAGCACAGCGGTATGTTTGCGGACTTACAATGCTAGAAACCGGGTTTCGATACCCGTGTTTAAAACTGTTTAGATTTTGAAATATTATTTAAAAGTACCATAATTGTGTGTTTTTACTTAAGCACAAAGCTACACAATGGGCTATCTGTGCTCTGCCCACCATGGGTATCGAAACCCGGTTTCTAGCGTTGTAAGTCCAGAGACATACCACTGTGCCACTGGGGGGGGGGGGGAGTACCATAAAGAAAAGTCTATAACCTTAGCTTGAACGTTCATCAAAAATCAAATTATTTCAAACGTCACAGGCAGAAATGAAATAAATTTACAGAAAAATACAAAATCATAACAATACCTTTTGTCATTATAACTTTTAATAACCAGGTGATCGATGTGCACTACAACCATATACACGTTTTATTTTAAAATAAATCAATAGTAATTATATGGCCTTTTAGATATATCAGACTTCGCGTAGTTTGATAAATGAGCCAATTCGCTTCTAACATATAGTTGAAAACTGAAACAACACTTGGTTTAGTTCTTTGCAAAGCTTCAAGTAAAATTTATATTTATCCTGACTGTAACGATTTGCGTGTAAAAGAAGATTTCAGTTTTGGTTGTAACTTAGTCATTAACTAAACAGCAAAGTTATGCTCAAAAATATCATATTTTATAGACACTTAAACAACATCCCTATAGCATTGAACTACTTTCTGTGTATAATATTTTTCTCTGTGACATTTGATTATTATTATATTTTTGTTTTGCGGTAATTGCTTCATTGCGTGATTGGATTGTATGCTGGGGAACAACCAATGTATTATAATGTCGCGACACTATCGTATGGATACTGTTCCTTAATTATCCCAGTGGCTGACGGCAATGAAAATGTATACATAAAATCACGAGGATCTACCGTGGAAAAAAAGTATTGTAAACATTTGTTGCATACAAGCACTCTGTTTATAAAGTGGTTGCTTAGCGTCTGACCTCGGAATAAGCAAGCAATATTTGAAGTTGTGTAACCAACGGCTTAACTGAATGAACCAAAGCTAGACCCACAGAAGGATTACACTGGACAGAAAAAAAATTGTTACTGGAGAAAACTCAAGCAATTCGGGGTAACTTGATGGTACTGATTTTAAAAATGTACTCAGAATTTGTCCGTCACCATTAAATTTTGAGTTATTTTAATATCTCAGTATTGTATCAGCACTGTGTAAAATATCATGCAATCAACTCAGTACAATAGATTTATGCTGTGAAATTAAGTTTACTTAGACAGTTTAATGGGTAAAGGGCATAAATTTTTGATAACTTCATTCATTGATTGTATTTTATTGGTGCAAAATTCCAAATATATTGTTCATATATGCTATTTATTCACGATATGATTGTAGCAAATTGCACCACTTTTGCTTCATTCTCACCTGCTCCGCCCGGGAATTACGAAACTCTTACGTGCTCTGTTTGCTCTAACATTCGAGAAGTCTCTCGATTGAGCATAAAAGGGGCGGAGTCACACGCCTCTCTCTCAATTGCCTCTCACTCACTCAGTTGGTCACTTCGCCTTGCTCCACGCACAGTCAAAACAAAGTCCGATCTTCTTCCTCGCATCATACCTGTGATATAATCAAATTCTGCAAAACTTTTTTTTTATCTTTTAAAGTTTATTTCTGTAAACATAAACTCTTTTACATTTTTTAGAAAATTATTTGGAATGCTGACTGACTCCATTTCAAGTAAAGTGCAAAAACCACCCAAACGGTTTCTGCTACATTTGTGGAAAATATATTCACGAAGGAAAAACTTCATGCACACACAAGATGTAGGTAGCTTACTACTACTACTTTGGTAGTAATATTGGTGACCAAGAAAAACATTGGGCTCCCCATGTGTGTTGTACAATTTACATATCTCGCTTGACACAGAGGCTGAATAAGAAGAGAGCAAGTATGCCATTTGCAGTTCCCATAATATGGCATGAGTC